TGACTTGACACTGTGTCAATACAAATGTGCCTAAAAAGTATGAATATATACTTATTCGAAGGTGTGTTTAAATTACGCTGTTCCTAATGACCTATTTCTAATTGACCGTGTGCCTAAAAGAAAAGTGCCCAAAGTACCGTGTCTTACTGCCCTGTACTTATAATTTATTTGTTTCCAATTGACTGCTTATCATAAATTTTAGTCTTGAAAAATGAATTTTCTCATAATCTTAAAGATAATCTATATGTCAAGACAATACCTAAAAACAAATTATCATAAAATTCAAACATGGCCAAGATCTCATTAACAAACACATCTATTTCAAATTGCATCAAAATTGGATAACCACTGTAGTCACTTTACAGATCAAACTTGACAGCCTTTAATAATTCAAATATCGTCAAATTCAAATTGATCACTATATACATACATACTAAGTTTGATAAAACATTTGAAGTTATATTGTGTCTACACACATTCAAGGGCTCCTCCTCTATCGTGCCTACAATCCAAATATGACGCGTTTTTCCCCAAATAACTCCGAAACCATTATCGTAACAAGTAGACACAAGTATGATTTGTTAATTGTAATACGAAGCTATAGGCTTTAAGACTAACTTTTTAAATTTGGTAAACATGTAGAACTTTGTGGAGCCAAATTGGACTAGAAAATCATATGCATAAATTATCTAGGAAACTGCTACGTTTTTGTACCGCTTTGTAAAAGCTTTGGCAACCATCTTGCAGAGGAGTTAGTTCACAAGATGTTTTGTTTAAGGAAAATAATCACTCTAGAGTTCCTTCGTCTATAATTAGTCGACGCAAAAATTTGTTTTAACCCGATAGTAGGCTCTGATATTTTCAGTCATCCTGGGGTACATTTAAGATCTGCGTAAGGGTGTCCCTAAAGAGCAATATTCACAAATAGTCCTATATACATATCAAATGGAAAATCTCAAGCATAAAACAAACCTATAAAATAATTGTATTAAGCTTGGTTTTTATTCAGTAACACTGTACAATATATCATTGATAACATACAAACATAACAATAGATAACAATTTAAAACAATAACAAATTCAAAATCGGATAAAGTTTTCCGGGGTTTTCTAATCTTTTCTTCTCTACCTTTATTACCTCAAGATTTTTTACTTCGGACAATTGACAATTCTTCACTAAACTTTAGGTCTAACATTTGAATATAATCACAAGGTTCACACACACACACATTGTTTACTATACTTGAAATATTACTGATCCGAATGTCAAATATCTATTTTCTGGCTACAATTTTACATTTAAGATGTTGAGGATGTAAAACTCCGCATTGAACCCAAGTTGACGAATCTTCAGAAACCAGTTTATTATTTCCTTGATGGAATTCAAATTTCTGAAGTAAACGTGTCACATATAAAAACATGCGTGATTTAGCAAATGATTCGCCAACACAGTTTCTTCTTCCAACACTAAATGGTATCAATCTGTAAAATGAAACACACATTTCTTTTAATATGGAGTAATTCCAGACCACAAATAAGAACACCTACGAGACACGATACATTACAAAAGAGAAATATTACACAAAGCTTACTCGTACAAAATCAGGGATGTTTAAACAAGTTTTGTGACAGAAATATAATTAGCTGATCAAAATTGGCAAATAGTGATCTTACTGTTGTCTGGTTGGGTGATCACTTGGTAGTAAATTACCATCAACATCTAAAAATCTTTCAGGATAAAATTGATCTGGTTTTTCCCATTCCATCTCGTCTATACATGCATAATATATATTAGTAATTAGCTGAAATACAGAATATGTTCTATTACACCTTGACATATTGTGAATATAAGAAATATATTCTTATGTGGACATGACATGACATGAGTTTTAAGGTAGCAATTGTCGCGTCGCCAATGGATATAAAAAAGTCAGAAATATTCGATTGATTTCAAAAGTACAATATACTCCATTAGGTTGTCATATACATATACATGCTCATATGTAACTAGGATACCGTTTCACCAAATCAAAACATTCAGGGCCTACCGTTGATTTAGCGGGAATTGTGTATCCTTCTATTTCAATATCTTCTCGGACATAGTGTGATATTCCTAACGGGATGTGACGTATGTAACGAAGACATTCTAGAATAACAGCGTTGGTGTATGGAAGTTTTGATCGATCAGCAAGACTTGGTTCTTCACCACTAATTCTGAAATAAAAATAATTAATCTCCATCAGCTAGAATACTGGTTTGATGTATTGTAAGTTAGATGACGAATAAACTAGAACTTTATGTGATATATGTAAGCTATCCTCTTTATACTATTTATAATCCCGAAACATCCTATCTATATCCAGTCAGCAGTTGCACTATGGAATGTTGGTTGGGACCCAAAAATACTACCAACCTTTCCTCAATTTCTAATTGAAGACGACGCTGAACTTCGGGATATTTCATCATCAGGAGAAAAGTACCACATAGAGCACCATGAGTTGTAGAAAACGCTGCAATAACCATATCAGAAACAACTCCTTCTATCATAGTATCAGTTAATTCCTTATCATTATCCTGTTCTAAACGTAGTGTTCCTATCAAGCTTCCATTTCCCTTCCATTTCTAATAATAAAACCATCATTATCATACCGACAAAATTAATGAAGTGATCTAATCAAGGTACCATAAAGATATTAGTCACTCAACAGTTATCGTAATATATCAAATATCGAGGACTTAAAATTCTTATCCGAAACAACATGTAATACTGATGAAACTTGGACAAAAAATGAGAAAATTTACGGTGCTGTCTGCTCGCCAGTGTAGGTTTACAACTGAATATCCCTTTCATGGAGAAAACAAAACTAATACAGATATTCAAAACAAACCTGTTTTTTTTCAGGTGCAAGAAAGTACCGTAATATTCTTCTTTGGTCATGATGTAACTTCCGGACGACATCACCATTACTTCCGGGAAGATGTTGTAACCATGGGAACCGCGACAGTATAAAATTCTTGTCAGCAGCACTTATAGCAATAAAACTAGTATTGAATTCCCTTACATCAGAGAAAACTTTTTCTGCTTCTTTTGATTCTATTCGTTCATTGGTTAACTGAAAATTGGATATTCTAAAATTCTGTACTCAAAAGCTTACAAAACTATTATAATTTTTAGAATTATCACATTATCTCATTCAGAAGTAAACTGCCTCGATGTTACTGTACTATTCTATTCACACGGATTTCTTTTTTTATAGAAGCAAATGTGTTTGTGTGTCTGTGTGTAGGGGTGAGGTGGTTGGGTAAAGACAGACTATATGCCAAAAAGATACGCCTATCATTTATTTTAAGGAGTAAAACCTAATGTATTTAAACAGAGCAAAGTTTTACTATTTTTCTATTTATGATACAAAATCGACTTCTCTCTTTAGATTTAGATTCGGATCTGGATGTGAAGGAATATTTTTTTCGACTAGTGGAGCTGGCTATTAGTCTTCAAAATTTACAAGCACATATCTTTAAAGTATATGTTGAAAAAGATCAGTATCTCTACTTACAAATACGTGTATAATTCTGATTAAACTCTCTGACAGAACTGCATCCATATCAACTGATTCCTTATCAGTAGCTTGTGCCAGTTTTTCTATCAAAATATCCACTTCCGGTTTCAACATTTTCTCAAAATCATGTATTCCTTCACCATAAAGTCGCATAACTGTATGGGAAATCTTTCTTAATTTGAAAACAACATTACTATAGTCACTAAATGCAATATCCTTATTTTGAAAAAGATAATCTTTAAGAAAAGATGGTGGTCGGTCGTTAGTGACGTCACGATAAGCAGACGTGGTTAAAAGTTTCCTAATAATTCTAGAACTGTTGAGAAATATCATATTGTTACCAAGGAATCGAACATTGGCAATTTCTCCAAATCGGAAAGCCAGTTTCTCTGCAACTAAAAATCCGTCTTCTCTTGTGATAAATCCATACATAATTTTAATAGATTCAATGAGGGAAGGACCTGGGGGTAGTCTCCCCTTATTGTTGGTCATCCATATATAAATGATATAACTGAGAAGACACAATATCATAAGGTAAATAAACCAACTCATTTCCAACATCATAGATGTAACGCGAACTACAACTCGACTTTAGTAAACTATATGTCTTCTGTTTTATACCAAATAGTAAGTGAAACAAAATCACTCTAGTGTTTCTGAAAATAATAATTTCACCATTGAAATCACATTACCAGAAAAGATCACTGAAGTTGTAGAAGGGTACACCGCCTCTTTACTAAAGTTGAAGACAAGCAACGTTCTCGCAAATGCAAAAAAAAGAAAAACAACTTTACCTTAACAAGCATTAACTTGCAAACCTTCAACATCCCACTCCTCTGTGGGCTATAACAACAATACTAATATGATCAGTGATAGTATATTTTATAGAAACAAACAAATGGCTATTACAATGGAATTAAATGACAATAATGATTCAGTTTATTCATTTATAATAATAATAATAGACTCATGAATAACAATTATACACATTAACATATCGACATGCAAATTTGAAAATTTTGTTTTGTTTTGTTAGAAGCTAATGATCAGGTTATATTGTATTGTTTATTGTCATATACATGTAGTACCTTAGTTAATAAAATAATCCAACAAAATAATAGTTGTTACAATTTTGATAGATCTCTTGGTATTCAAAGTAATATTCGTTAATCATCTGCATTACATTGTAACAATTTAGAACTGAGATTTAGGTAGAGAACATCGATGATGAGATTGATGATAATCATCAGTTATTTTCTAGTATATTTAAAGTTGACAGACACTATGTCAGTGGGAGCTACATAACGAATTTTCTTTAACGATACAGTATATTTTTTCTGAAGAGATTTAAACAGCTACTACACTACAGAATGATTTATTTTTATTCAATAACACTGTACAATGATTTAAAGATAACAAATAACATAACAATAACAAATATATAACAATTTAAAACAATAACAAATCAAAATCTGATAACACGAGGTTTTCTCGTCTTTTCTTCTCTACTTCTATTACCTCGTGATTTTTTACTCTGGAAAATTGATAATTCTTCAGTAAACAGTGGGTCTACCATTTGAATATAATCACAGGATTCACACAGATTCTGAAATATAAAACAGAGTGGATCTATTTAATATTATTTCTATATTAAAATTGTTTAAGTAATACCTATTGCAATAATTTTATGATTTATGAATAATTCTATTATATGAAATCTAAATATATTTACCTGTGTTTGTTCATAAAAATCTTTATATCCTCCATCTAGAATATAGACTTCTGGGTAATATAGACTAGGATAATTATCACTGTTCAATAATCTGTCCTGAGATCGAAGATATCGTAATCTGAAAAATAACAATGTATAACATATAATTTCGGGAATATTGCGGGCTAATGTATTATACAACACATATATTCAAATATAGTATAAGTCCGATAATAGCACTTGTTTGAATATTAGATTTAAGATATGTTATACTTACAGTGTAGGTGCTCTCTGTGAAGAAAATTCACAATGGAATATTAGAATTCTAGGTTTATCTTGTAATTGTAATAAATTATCTATAGAATCTTTAATATAAGTATTTACTGCTCCCTTGATATGACCACCATCATATTCATATGGATATCTACAATCTAGTATCATATAATTATTATCTATAGTTGAGTATTTTCCATTTAATAAATCTTCAACCTGGAATATAAATGATATACTTAATATTTATACAGATCAAATATAAAACAGTTCGCTATTCATATTTGGTTTTAATAATATCCTATATGAAATTTCTAAGAATGAAAAATGTGCTTGAATATTACTTACAGTTTGAGGTGAAATAGACTTGAGATCTTTATGTTTACCACATACAGTAGGTAGACTATAAGGTCGACTACAATCAGATATTAATTCTACATCATCTGATAATCTTTCTACAGCTGATTTAATTCGTTCATCTTCTTGTCTTTCATTCATTTTTTCTTTTATTTCTTCATTTCTAACTTGTACCATCTTATTCTTATTGTAGCATATTGGTGATGACGTCATATCAACTTCCATCATATTCTTCCTCATTTGTTGAGATAAATTACGACGAGCTTTCTTCGGTCGACGGATTTCAAACTGTCAAAGAAAAGCAGAATTGTGTAAGTTTCAGCAAAATGAAAATGACAAAAAATGAACAGAGGTTCCAAAAGTTACTTTTAGAAATACATGCAGATAAATCAAAGCTTAACAACCACCACCTTATAGTTTAGATAAATAGAGGATGAATTATTAAAGTGAATTGTTATTTACCATATTTTCTTGCTGTAGATTTTCCATTTTCTATAGATTTTAAAAAAAGGTAAAGATTGCCAATGAAAAGAGAATGAAGTGATAATGATTTAAGATAAAATACATGACGATATTTATAGTGATAATGAATATAATGTCGAGTGAATTATATCATTATGATTACTAATCATTTTCTATCATAACTAATTATATTTCTGTTTTAATTACAGTCATTATATTTCTATGTGAATAATATTTATATCCACACTGAATACTGTTCTGAATCCATGTTTATCTTTCTTTAAGTGGACTATATGTTGTTATTACTTTTATTGGTTTACCAGATTAAGTACTACCCCTTATCCCTCTTCACCTATGGGTTATCGGTATGGTGTAGTAGAAATCTGAATTTTCCTAGGTCGAATTTATTAAATTGTGTCCCTTAACTTATCTGAAAGTTTTGACTTAAATTATCCGGTCATTGAATTTCAAACCCCAAACTAGTTAAAAGGTTTACGTAAACAATTTAACGTCTATTTGTTTTTGGTTGGTGTTGACAAACTAATTACAAATCTTGAAAATAAAAAACAAATTTTAGAGACCTATACCTCTGCCTCCTTCTGAAGGTTTCAACTAAAAATATCGAGGCATTTTAAGGTGAAGCACCTAAACTAGATCAAATTGCTTCATTAACAATTAGTCACACCTTTAACATATACATGAATAGCAAAAATTAAAAATTTGCATACTGCCCCTTTAATGTATGGTGTTCTGTACTTTTTAAGTTGGTAATATTTTTGTGATTCAGATTGACATTGGATTTTGTTAAGAGGTTTTTATATCCAGACACCCCATCTTTTCCCTGATAATTTCATGAAAACAACAGTTTCATGTGGACATAAAATAATCTGATTCAAAAGTGATTATCTTTATATGTCTATAGTCAAACTCCTAATAGCATTGTTAAAACACTTGTTAACACAGTATTCAAAAATTATAATTCTAATAGCAATGTTAAAAACTCGTGAACACAGTATTCAAAATATATACGGAATATTTCATTCAACAAAACTACAACATAACTAAAGAAATATTTCTTTAAAAATTCTTATTATTTTAATTATGGTGTTATGAATAAAATATTTTGCAGTGTTTTTTTCTGAACCTTGAAATTGAAAGATTGAATGTGAACACTAGATGATATCATCTGTCGATTGATGAAAAATTATAACAACATATAGTCAATTTCAAGAAAGATTGAAATGGATTAAGAACAGTATTCAGTGTGGATATAAATATTACTCACATAGAAATATAATGACTGTAATTAAAACAGAAATATAATTAGTTATGATAGAAAATGATTAGTAATCATAATGATATAATTCACTCGACATTATATTCATTATCAATATAAATATCGTCATGTATTTTATCTTAAATCATTATCACTTCATTCTCTTTTCATTGACAATCTTTACCTTTAAAAACAAAATCTATAGAAAATGGAAAATCTACAACAAGAAAATATGGTAAATAAAATTTTCCTTCAATAATTGATCATTTATTTAATAGAATTGAAATACTTTTTAATAAGAAACATCTATTTCGAATATCTTCTAAACTTATAAGAAATTGTATTTTGTTTACCGTATTCTTAAGAAATTTTGTTTTTCTTTTGACAGTTTGAAATCCGTCGCCCTAAGAAAGCTCGTCGTAATTTATCTCAACAAATGAGGAAGAATATGATGGAAGTTGATATGACGTCATCACCAATATGCTACAATAAGAATAAGATGGTACAAGTTAGAAATGAAGAAATAAAAGAAAAAATAAATGAAAGACAAGAAGATGAACGAATTAAATCAGCTGTAGAAAGATTATCAGATGATGTAGAATTAATAGCTGATTGTAGTCGACCTTATAGTCTACCTACTGTATGTGGTAAACATAAAGATCTCAAGTCTATTTCACCTCAAACTGTAAGTAATATTCAAGCACATTTTTTATTTTTTTTAGAAATTTCAGATTGGATATTATCAAAACCAAATATGAATAGCGAACTGTTTTATATTTGATCTGTATAAATATTAAGTATATCATTTATATTTCAGGTTGAAGATTTATTAAAAGGAAAATACCCAACTATAGATAATAATTATATGATACTAGATTGTAGATATCCATATGAATATGATGGTGGTCATATCCAGGGAGCAGTTAATACTTATATTAAAGATTCTATAGATAATTTATTACAATTACAAGATAAACCTAGAATCTTGATATTCCATTGTGAATTTTCTTCACAAAGAGCACCTACACTGTAAGTATTAAATATATCTCATTTATCGAAATTGCATTGTATTTGTATATTTGTGCTGCGTATAACACAGCATTGTGTAATATTCTCGAAATTATACGGTATATATGTTTTTTTTTCAGATTACGATATCTTCGATCACAAGACCGATTATTGAATAGTGATAATTATCCTAGTCTATATTACCCAGAAGTCTATATTCTAGATGGCGGATATAAAGCTTTTTATGAACAAACAAAGGTATAATATATTTTTATTTCAAATTACATGTATTGTATCTCAGAATTGAATCATACTGGAGTTTGTCAATATGAAATATGACCTGTACATGTAAAATATTGAAAGTTATAGAATTATTGCAATTGAGTTTACGTACATAATTTTTAGTATTTTTTGGGAATAGAAATAAACACTACATAAAAGGAATACTATATAAATCTAACCTGTTTTATATTTCAGAATCTGTGTGAACCCTGTGATCATATTCAAATGTTAGACCCAAAGTTTACTGAAGAATTATCAGTTTTCCAGAGTAAAAAGTCTCGAGGAAATAGAAGTCGGGAGGAAAGGTTAAGAAAACCTCGTGTTATCAGATTTTGAATTTGTTATTGTTTTCTATTTGTTATTGTTACTTGTTATTTGTTATCTATGAAATATTGTACAGTGTTAATCTATGAAATAAATAAACAAAGGTCTTGTTTAATTGAAGGTGTGACTAATTCGATGACCAACATCTCATCAATATAAATGATCACATAACGTTTCATGACTTATATAAGGATAGCTTGCCAGGCAAGGTAATAAACGCCCACTGATAGCTTTGATTTTAAATTTTAAATATTTGGCAGTACAGTAACAATTACCAGTATGAAATATTCAACCTTCAGCCATACATAATAATATTACCAAGTTTCATCAAAATCTGTGCCTTCTAGAGTGGTTACAGACTAAAAAATGCGCTTTTAAGAACATATATTGTTTGATTTTTCTGATTTCGATAGCGTTCATCCTTGGGTGATTACAAACACTCACACAAAGTTTTGTCGAAATCCACCAAGAATTGTGCCTTCTAGAGTGTAAATGTGCTAAAAATTGAACGCATTTTCAAGATAGAGGGTAATAACTCATTTTTTTTTCAATAGGGTTCATCCTTAGGGGATAAAAAACACTAAAACCAAGTTTCGTCAAAATCTGTCAATAATTGAACCTTCTAGAGCGTTTACGAGCAAAAAATATTACGAGTTTTCAAGAACAAGGGCAATAACTTATACTAAAAATGGTCGATTTTTCTGATTTTCGATAGAGTTCATCCTTGGTTGAGTACAAACAACCATAAATAGTTTTGTCGAAATCAGTCAAGAATTGTGCCTTGTAGAGTGTTTACGAGCAATTGTGGACGGACGGGCGGTGGGTGACGGAAATATACGCCCCCCATTTCATGACTCAACTATAATCTCTATTATGTTCACAACGTATCGACGGACTCGGGCAACGAAAATATACGTCCACATTTCCATGTGGGCTTATTAAAATGGAAGGTAGACTATTAAGTCAATTGAAATTAAAACCACATAATCATAAAAATTATCAAGTTTTCTGCCTCTACGTAGTCTAAAATTGTAGTCTAGTGCTATAGGTTAGCGATAGTATGTTTCGGACTATTCGGACATCGCTAACCTTGTGCCACTAAGCTTTTTCTGACGATTTTAGACTAGCGTAGAGGCAGAAAATCTAGATGCTCCATTTTTATTGCAATGTTACAAAATTATACAGCGTATATTTTTCAGATTACGATATCTTCGATCTCAAGACCGATTGTTGGATAGTGATAATTATCCTAATCTATATTACCCAGGAGTCTATATTCTAGAGGGCGGATATAAAGCTTTCTATGAACAAACACAGGTAAAAATATTTCTTTTTTCATAAATAGAATTATTACAATGTTAGAATTAAATTTTGCGGTGCTTAGTAGATTAAAAGTATTTAAAATTATTGCAATAGGTATTACTTAAACAATTCGTCGTATTTCTTGACATTGCATAGAAATAATATTAAATAGATCCACCCTGTTTTATATTTCAGAATCTGTGTGAACCCTGTGATTATATTCAAATGTTAGATCCTAAGTTTAGTGAAGAATTATCAATTTTCCAGAGTAAAAAATCTCGAGGTAATAGAAGTAGAGAAGAGAAGATGAGAAAACCTCGTGTTATCAGATTTTGAATTTGTTATTATGTTGAATTGTTATCTATTTGTTATTGTTACTTGTTATTTGTTGTTTATGAAATATTGTCCAGTGTTTATGTATGAAATAAATAAAGTCCTTTCAAAAACTTTCATCGAAAAATCGTCAAATTCGATGACCAAAATCTCATCAATATACATGATCACACCAAGTTTCATGACAATCATATAAAAACTGATCGACGGACTCGGGCAACGGAAATATACATCCACATTTTCATGTGGGCGTATAAAAATGGAAGGAAGACTTGCCAATTCAAATTAAAACCGCATTATTGTAAAAATTATCAAGTTTTATACAAACATTACAGTACGTAGATTACATAATCAATACAATGTTTACAATATAATATATATTTTAATATAAGATATCCTTTTGACCTAACCAATCAAATTTACGCCTTCTCCAGTGTTGGTGTTTTGTTACGCGATAAAAAGGTGTATTTTCATAAGCAATAGATTAGTTTATCAATTCCGCTGAAAGTGAACACGCTTTTCATTGGATGTTCCGAATTGACCCAATTTAATTTTATTAGTTATAGCATCAGGTTACGTCAAAAGGTTAATTTGATAAATGTTCAAGACTCCGGTCGTTAGACCCTACTGTGAAGTGACTATACTTAAAAACAATTATTAAAAAAAATGAAACGAAAGTTGGGTCTAATATTAATTAGACTGGAAAATCTAGTCCTTAGAAAATGTGGTACAGTCATCCAATAATTGTCGGATGGATATAAAACCAGTGGTAAATGTTTCTCAACCACTACCAGCATGTCTATAGAGCTGAGTTTTAACTCAAAGTTCTTTTCAAAACAAGTTTCAAAGATAGATTCACATGGTTTGATAGACACCCAAAATCATGCAAATCAGATAAAATATGTATTGGAATGTAACAAAACCTGTACCACAAACCAAAATTTCATTTGTTTTTCCTGTCGTATAGAATTTTCTTTGCGAGTAACAATCGATTTGATTTTTGATTAACAGATAGGACTTCTGTACATCTAATTTCATTATTTCTACGATAATGTCTATTTTCTTGCTACAATTTTGCAATTAAGGTGTTGAGGGTGCAAAGCTGCACATCGAATCCAGGTTGACGAATCTTCAGAAACAAGTTTATTTTTACCACGCTGAAATTCAAACTTCTGAAGCAATCTTGTTACATATAAAAACATACGTGATTTAGCAAATGATTCGCCAATACAGTTTCGTCTTCCAACACTAAATGGTATCAATCTGTAAAATAAAAGTATTACTTCATTACTCTTTTGAAAAATTGTCATAAAACCAACATTTGGTCATGACTTTATACCAATTACTTTCAAATTCTTACAATTCCTTGATCATATGCCATTAATTTCAGACCGAATCGCTATTTATGCACCTTTAAGGTGACTGGGCTAAGAGGAGGCAAGATGCTCGTCTTTATTGTTCTTATATGATACACTCGAAGTACAGACATCACCATGGACATCCTGATCAAGTCAAAAACAATTAGACAGAAGGTAGAGGAGATTGATTGCAAGATGTAGGGGAGGTACATGATTTCAGACATGCATTGATTGATTGTGGAGATCGTCGTGCTTCTACTCGCCATATAATATGACACAAAGGTTGCAGGTGACTGGCTGGATGCACATATTTGCACATTTATCACAATGAATACGCCACAAAATATTAATTTTGGAAATTTAAGGGAGACTTAAGTAATATTAAATTTGGTCACCGGAAATACCTTGTTCCGTATTACTGTGTCCATATTACCCTGTGCCCGTATTACTGTGACCAAAATACCTTGTGCCCGTATTACTTTGACAAAAATACCTTATTCCCGTATTACTGTGACCAAAATACCGCGTGCCCGTTTGACTGTGACCAAAATACCGCGTGCCCGTATTACTATGACCAAAATATCTTGTGCCCTATTACTGAGACTATATTTCCGGTGACCAAATTTCTTGTTACCAACTTATCTAAAACCGCTGGTGAAACAAGAGCATTTTATAATACATGTATATAAAAGTACTTACTGTTGTCTGGTTGGGTGATCACTTGGTAGTAAATTACCATCAACATCTAAAAATCTTTCAGGATAAAATTCATATGGTTTTTCCCACTGCATTTCGTCTTTACATGTGTGGTACAAATTAGTTACTAACTGAAAAATGGATGGATGCATAAGGATAAATGACCACAATAGATACAGTAAAAGTAAAATACAACAGGAAGTGAGTACATGTAACCTCCCCTTACATTAGTTTATCTGTTATGGACAGAACTGAATCCAGAAGGTTTGCCTGAAACATTCGACAACAATAAACGATGTAACAATAAGCTTTAGGATTATTTAAGAACTCATGAAAGAAATTACTGTTGATTTAGCTGGAATGGTATATCCCTCTATTTCAATATCTTCTCGGACATAGTGTGGTATTCCCAATGGGATATGACGTATGTAACGAAGACATTCTAGAATAACAGCGTTGGTGTATGGAAGTTTTGATCTGTCAGCAAGACTTGGTTCTTCATCACCAATCCTGAAATCACAGAAAAAATAAGATTATTATCTGTTCCTCACGCATGGTCTAACTGAAAATTCATTAAAGGCATTGTAAAAATTGTTTTCTAAACTGTTTATGTATATCGGGGATATTCATAAAATTCAGTCAGAAATCTGTGTATTTCACAATTTAACTACAACTTAGCGTTTTATGACATCGATCATTATCACAAAAGTTCTTATATCATTAGCAGCTTTTGCTACAGGGCCGTCGAAAAACGGCAAGAACCAAAGACGTCTGACTGAAATTCGAAATGGTACAAACCGATCCTATCAGTGTCACCGACACACATGCACAATTTAGAAAACCTCTTTACAATCCCTTTAACATTCTACCAACCTATCATCAATTTCTTTTTGAAGACGACGTTGAACTTCGGGATATTTCATCATCAGGAGAAAGATTCCATCGAGGGCACCATGAGTCGTTGAGAATCCACCAATAACCATATCAGAAACAACTCCTTCTATCATAGTATCAGTTAATTCCTTATCATTATCCTGTTCTAAACGTAGTGTTCCTATCAAGCTTCCATTTCCCTTCCATTTCTAATGTTTAAAACAAAAAGGCATTGAAAAATTTAAGATTTCCAAAAGTTGGAAATACATTATGATGTATAACTTTTCAGCCAGTAACGATTTGCAAAGGTTGAATGCAATAAGGGCATGGGCTCTTTAAAATTCGATAGTGTCTTAAACAAACTACAAAATATTCACGATGAAAATAATATGTAACAACATAGTTAGATTCGTGACTATGTGAAATAATCGTTTTATCAAGAAATGAGTGCCTTTTTATCTGCATCAACATGACTTGTGTCTATGTGTCATTCGGAACCAAATTCCGATGCATTAATAAATTCACTTTGGGTTAATTGGTTGGATTTTTTACGAGTTGGAAATTAGTAGATGCGTGACAAACCTCTGTTTTGTCAGGAGCAAGAAAATACCGCAATATTTTCTTATGTTCGTGACGTAATTTCCTGACTAGATCACCATTACTTCCAGGAATATGTTGTAACCATGGAAACATCAACAATATCAAATTCTTATCAACAGCAATTATCCGATTAAAAGTGTTGTTGAATTCCTCTACAGTTGAGAAAACTTCTTCTGCTTCTTTTGCTTCTAAACGTTCATTTGTTAACTAAAAAAAGATATAACATTTACAGAGAGCCTAAACATACCAAACATTTTCCCTTCGAGTATTGGAATTTCAAGCAGTTTCATACTCATTTTCGAATTGTAGCATTGTTTGATTTTACACGGAAAGCGTTTCATATTCTTTCAGAGCCCACTCTCCATCAGTATTGCTGCTGGAGGCCCATTATCGTTTTTATCCTCCCTTAAAATAAAGCCAACATAGAACAATATAGAATATTGTCATACTTACAAATACGTGTATAATTCTGATTAAACTCTCTGAAAAGGCTGCATCCATATCAAATGATTCCTTATCAGTAGCTTGTGCCAGTTTTTCTATCAAAACGTCCACTTCCGGATTAATCATTTTCTCAAAATCATGTACCCCTTCACCATAAAGTCTTATAACTGTATGGGAAATCTTTCTTAATTTGACCAAAAGGTTATTATAGTCATTAAATCCAATATCTTGGCCACCCTGGTAAAGATAGTCCTTCAGAAAAGATGGTGGTCGGTCGTTAGTGACGTCACGATAAGCAGACGTGGTTAAAACTTTCTTAATAATTCTGGAACTGTTGAGAAATATCATATTGTTACCAAGGAATCGAACATTGGCAATTTCTCCAAATCGGAAAGCCAGTTTCTCTGCAACTAAAAATACGTCTTCTCTTGTTATAAATCCATACATAATTTTAATAGATTCCATCAGGGAAGGACCTGGGGGTAGTCTCCCCTTATTGTTGGTCATCCATATATAAATGATATAACCGAGAAGACACAATATCACAAGGTAAATCAACCAACTCATTTTCCACACTATAGTTGTTTATAAACAATGTAAAGTATAGACGTGAAATGGAGTCTTCAGTCTAAAAATTATCCGTGGTAGCAAATAAACTATGCGAGCACTATGTTATTTATTTCATATCATTATTATATGTATACCTGTTTATGTCAAGCAGTCGGTTAATAACAGCGAAACCTGTCTAGTCATTCATATTACCTCAATTAAGTATGTTGACCTCAAGTAGGTAAACAAGTTTATCTGACACATTTCTTAAAGATGGTTAAAGATGGTTTACCGCCGATACGGTTCATATGATGTATACTTTGTCAAATGAAATGAAATTGCTTGTAGTGTATGAAAAATTTTTGATTATATATCAGAAGGTTTTACAAAATATCCGGTGAGTATTTGGCGACCTTCAGCTCTGATTAATCACGAGCCATTATAATGAATCCTCTGTCTATTCCTATAGCCAGTATAATGGGAAAAAAGCGGAAGTTTTGACTCTCTCCGAACTTGATTCACCAATATGCCGATGCATACCAATAGAATAGAATAGCATAAAAACTGTTGCCACTATCAACATCTCATCAATACAAATGTATACACAGTTTAATCTTGATCAGATACAAATTGTGACCTCTTCTGTTCCTGCAAGTCAAATTCGAGGACGCTAACTCAAAAGTTATACCCCATATCTTCCCTTGCAGTTATTAGTGATATCATAAATGAAAATGAAATGAATGGAGTTTTACGTTTTACTTTTCTGCACCTGATGGTGATGAAAGGTTAGATTTGGGAACAGGTTGTCGAATTATGATTTCGACTTCGGAAAGCTGAAATTTCAGCTGGTTAATGCGATAAACTGCGATGAAATATGCCGTATGAATTAAAGTTTTATGCGCTTAGAATCATACTACAAATTTCGATTGCAACTTCTAAGACCTTTAAAGGGGCAGTAAGCACAAATTTTTTTTATTAGAAACGGTGTACATGATACATGAACATATTTCTAAAATGTGCTATACGTATCTATTATTTACGGAGCCCCTAAGGCGCAATTTTCCACACTTTTATAAAATATTTCGTTTTAACGAAATAACTAATTCGTTGTAACGAAATGATATCATATATTCCGTTTAAAAGAAAAAACTTTTCGTTTAAACCAATTAATTATTTCATTTAAACAAAATAATTATTTCATTTAAACGAAAAAATTATTTATAAAAAATATATTTCGTTTAAACGAAATAATTGATTCGTTTAAACGAAATAAGTTATTTGATTAAACGAATCGAATTCGTTTAAACGAAATAAGTTATTCGATTAAAACGAAATATTTTATAAAAGTACTGAAAATTGCGTCTAAGGGGCTCCGTAATTATTCGATCGATTAAATGAAATAATTATTTTGTTTAAACGAAATGTTTTTTCTTTTAAACGAAATATATGATATTATCATCTTGTTTCTCTAGATTTGTGTATAGTTTTCATTAATTTGAGCTCCTAACTTTTAACAAGTACGAATTTTAGTTTGTCAATATATTATGTTAAATAACTGGGGCATGTCCCAAAAGTGGAAAATTTAGGTGAAATAACAATAAAGGCAAAAGGCGAGAAAACCCCATGATAAGAGCTTTTGAAATATTCTTTTGAATTGTTAGCTATTTGTTATTGTATTTGCATGTATCATCGTTGTATAAGTGTACTTATATCAAGTAAATGAAAACTAGTGTGTCATCAAATTGAATTGGTTGTCAAAGAGACAGTGATGAGTAAGATGTTTTGAATCGTCAGTCGGCCTCAGGGAACCTTTACAGTTGCAGTACCAGAATTATATCTAAACAGAAGCGCAAATATATTCTGGTTGTAGCAGTGCTTGGTGTATCAGGGATGGGTATTTCCATGTTGGCCTATAGAGCTGGGGGAATTTCCCAAAATCTTGTGACCCAATCAATACTTGTATAAACATGTTTTTATAAAACTATAAATTTCTCTATTGCCATCAATGTTTCAAAGTTTTCTTTGATAACTCTGGTAATCTTATAGCAAGCAGCGTTGGACAGCAGATAACAATGTTAATGAACAAATCAACAATAAAAATACACAAGTTTATTTTCTGTACATATCACATTCTCGTTTCAATAAATAAAAATAAATAGAATTATGTACAGATTACAAATAAATATAAAATTTGTCCCACAATAACTGTACATAACAAGAATAACAATTAAAAATAGATAACAATAACAAATAACAATAATAACAAGAGACTAGACATCTAAAAACGAATTGGTCGGGGCCGATTTGTAAAACTTTGCTTTGGCTTCTCTCCCGCTGTCCAGGATTTAGATTTAACTCGGAAATGACGTAGTTCACTTGCATGATCTTCGTGAAGCATGGGCGTATAAGTAGCAGGATAACATAAGCCCTGTAAAAAACAGACCGAAAAAGTTATTAAAAACATGCAAATGGAACTTTACCTAATTATTCGAAAGTGCTTAAAAAAATTGTAGAAAAAATGTAGTGAGTGAGTTTCAAAGTCAATATCTTTTACTCTTTTAAATGCTCGAGCTACTAATGTTTTGCCAATATGGGTGATTGGTTTAGGGGTATATTTACCTGTGTTTGTTCATAGAAAGCTTTATATCCACCATCTAGAATATAGACTTCTGGGTAATATAGACTAGGATAATTATCACTATTTAATAATCGATCTTGAGATCGAAGATATCGCAATCTGAAAGAGAGTAAAAAAAACTTATAATGTAATAAAGTCTTTGAATGGCATTTAGCAATTGTGAGTACGATATATAGGCACAGCTTTATGGAACAACAATCACTGGTTAAA